TCGTTTTCTGAATATCTGAAATACGATATGCGCCGAGTCTATGTGACTATATTCTATAAATGAGATGCTTAATGTCCAACTCATAGATCCATCAAAGTATTTGACTATATTATCTTCGAGAGGTTACCAAAAAGTGTTATATATACTCTCATTCATTGGCAAGATATTGATCTTCGTATCTTGATGGAGTTCAAGATCACATGGGCACGTGAGAACTACCCATTGTCTTCTCTGTTATTTCTTGTTCTATTGGACTACCATCAAATAACAATTAATGTAAAATCTAAATAACGATTGGCATAAAAAGTTGTAATCTACGTACATAATAGTTGTAACGTGCAGTCAAAGGACCAAGGTTGTCACTCATGTGCTGCGAAGTTCCATTGAACCATGTTTCTGCCACGTGTTGTGCTGGGAAGAGGCAACATGATCATCTCAACTCAATTATTGGTCAAATTAAAAACGAATCCGAAAGTATCAAAATATCATTAGTTGACCCTTTTTCCTAGAGTTACCAAAACTGGTTTCTATGACTTGGAATTTCATCTTCAAAGTTGAATTTCAAAACATAGTTGATCTCCTTTACACAAGTGATAATTTCTACCAATACTCTAGTTAATTGTAAATGAAGTGATTAGATTTCTAGTTTTTCGGTTTTTACTTTTTTTTATTTATTAAATTGATCATCCATAATCTAAATCAAAGCAATTAGCTGTGAAGAATTAGATGGGTTATGTGCGAAATACTACTCTCTCTCTTTTTTTAACGTGTGGATTGATTAAAAAAGCTTGACAATGTCAAGAGAGTTCACATAACTACTCTAATAATTGTTCCCGTTATTTTAATATGAAAATTGTTACTTAGATTAGGCCCGTTTTATTTGGGCCAAGAGCAAATTTATAATAAAGTGGACTTTTGTCAGATGAAAATGGGAGGGATCGAGTACAGGAAGGTGTACCGTGAAAGGTTTTTGAAATGTGGGGACCACAAAACCACTGAAGAAGATCGATGGGTGACGTCATCGTGGCACGTTTGATGTCCAAAGAGAGAAAGACCGACACTGAAAGAGTCAACCAATGGGTCAGTCGGTGCGGTTTGTAACAAAACTATTTTTAATATCTTTACTGGCTTTTACTATAATGATTCGTAATGGGTCGGTCGTCATCGAATCCGCCTAAAAGTCCAAGTCAAAACCGTCGCTTATTCCATTCTGACCAGATATTAATGGACCCGCGCCCCAGCCTCAAGAAAAAGGACATGATTCGGTCAAAGGCCCAAGTCAGCTCTGAGAGCGCTGGATCAATGGATGCAGAGCTGACGAACTAGGAACGAGTCAACAGGGCGGTTAGCACAGTCGTAGAAGCGAGATTTACGGGGAATATACCAAGAACGTGCCCGAGATACGCGGAACCGCCCTGGATGCGTGCAGCTGGATCGATGAGCTGAACTGAGCTATAAATAGAGGAAGTCCGAGGAGATTTTGCCAACTTTCACTTACGCGAGAGCTAAACACTACACTTTCAGCTTGTAACTATTGTTTTTGATCTACTCCTCTTTTCCTTCTTGCTACTGTAAGGATTCTTCTTTATTTTTGTTTTCTAGAATTTGGCTCTGTCAAGG